CTATACAGCTTGGAGTAAGACAACATGCATGAAGAGGATGATGTGGACAAAATACTCATTAGCCTAATAATTCTGCACTCACTGTACAGCATTCCCAATCTCACGCTCTCTCTTTTCTCCAGTTTAGAAAAATGACAACAATCAGCAAGACAATTTGCCATCCTCACTTTTTGGAGAACTTTGGATGGTTATGAGCATGCGTCTATTTACATCTGGATTGCTAACATTTTCTTTCCTTGAAATAATATGACTTTAAATCATTGTGTGAAATTTGCCACCTACTTGACGTTACCTGTATATTAGTCGAATAAAATGTCAAATATACAGTCACAAGTGTTTTAGTTGTAATTCTTAGTCAGCTGAAAAGTTAATGTAATCTGTATAATCATTATTAATTATTAATCATTATTAATCTAATCATTAGTATACCTCATCATATTCCCTTGTCTTTAAGACTTTCAGCCACGTTTCATGGTCCCCATCACTGAATAGAGTGACGTGGCTGAAGCGATACAGCAGGTTCTGCGGTCAACACTGAATAGAGCTGGCATCCATAAAATTTTTTGTTTTTTGAGCAAATCAGAGTGAAAACTGTGTTGCAATTTGCTCAAACTACTGACATAAAAGTTCAATGCAATAAAAGAAATTACTGGACTTTTCAAATTCAAGGTTAACTTACAGCTATTGAATAATTCTGATAAGCGAAGACATTCATTCATTGTCAGTGAATGTGGGTTATGGTGCTAAGCCTCAATATTCAGACACCCATGTCCCGCAGAGAGGACGAGGGGGGCTGGAGCGAGTCTCGAAGTCACATTGCTCATTTAAGCGCACACCTCAGGAGACCAAACTTACCCCTTCTGGTCAGAGCGGCCTCTCAGTTGAGGTGAACTTGTTTAACAGCCTCATCTCCACAGCGCAAAGGGCCTATGCTGGACGAGGGGAATGGCTCAAACACCTGCTCACACGCAACTCCGAGCTGTCACATACAGTTAGGCTCACGCGACCGAGCGCGTCTCCCCTCCGTTCACTGACACCGTGCTGCGGATTTGGCGGCCGCCCTCGCGCCTCAACAAAGGCCCGGGCCTCCCCTGTTTGTCTCGACAATTTCAGTGAGCTTATGCACATCTCTCACACACGCGCTCGCGTGCGCGCAAGTCTTTGAGCTCCAGGGGCTACAGCCACGGGCCGGCCACGCGCGAGCCGAAGCGCGTCAACAGGAATTGGATGGGAGTGGGGAGAGGAGGAGCTTTAACGTGAAGGTTAAAACCCGGAGCCCCCTCAGAGTGACCCGCACTGAGAGGCTGAGCAGCTCCGCACAAGGAGACGCCACTGAACTTCAGCGCTGCTTGATGGACGGTGTGACCGAGCTGTGATCCGTGGAGAAAGGACAAATATCATCTGACAGACTTCCTGAGGCGGTCCCGGGACACATCAGCACTGGTATGTTTCATAGCGCAGCCGAGAGAGACTCTGCGGGTCTCCCATGTGAGTGAGTCAGTGTGGACACACTGTTTACACGTAATTTACATTTTAATGTATCTTACAGGCAACTTGCTTTCAGTTTAGAGTACCAGATTTTTTTGGCATAGGGATTTTATTTTGAACTAAAGCAAGTGCACGTAAAGTCAACAAGAAATTAATATATCTAATGAAAAAAGTACAAAAGGCTTATTTTAATATACTTCAGCAATAACTGCTTAGGCACGCAATTTGTGGGGAGACATTAATATTTCTGCCTTTGAAAATGTCTATTTGAATTCAGACTGAGCCCTCTGTCAGGCTACTGATCTGCGGGATGTCGATCTTTCATTTAATCCCATGGTCGTTGCTTCATCCACGGAGTAAATCCTGTGATGGCCCAGATTAAAGTCCTGTCGGTGACTTGCTGGGGCATTACCAGTTCACAAGTTGACCGGGATTACCCAAAGAATAAGGGAAGGGGAGAAGACGGGTAAAGCAGATAATACATATAGGGGAAAATTCATGTAGCTATAAAAGCATTAAAAGCCATCACCTCTCTCTGCAGCTGTAATGTTTGGCCAATCAGAAGTACATGAGGCTGAGAAGCGCGCATCAGGAACTGTCCGGTGCTGAAACCGTCGGCCCGTTTGAGGACTTATTTGTGCAAAAATAATGGTTTTAAAGGTTATTGATGTTTATTCCTTGTGACTTAAGACTTGTATCCACTAACCCCAGGTTACCACGGCCATCAGACCCCTTAATTCACCCCTTAACCTTCCCCAACCTTAACATCGTATAATCTTTCTGGGAGTCAAAGGAGCTTGCAAAGAAAAGCGTCTGGACTTCTTCAAGTTACTTGAAGACGTTTCACCTCTCATCCGAGAAGCTTCTTCAGTTCTAAGGTCAAATGGTGGAGAGTCCCAGATATAAACCTAGTGGGAGAATCCCCCCACTACGACTACGATGACCTGGATGACTGAGAACCTTCACAGACAATCTTTCTGGGAAGTAAGTTAAGTTATGTTTCTAGATGAAAAGAACAGGAAAAGTATTTTTTCGCTAATCGAAAGATCTTACAGCAAAGAGAAGCAAACAGTGACAGAAAGACACTAGATTTGTATACTTGCTTTTATACTTAATTTCTTTCATTTAATTTGCAAACTTTTGATTTTTTATTTCCACTTCCGTTGGTGAGGTTTAGGAACCAAATAGTGTTGGTTAGGTTTAGGAGATTATGCTAAAATATCCTTGAACAATATTAACCACCTGCTACATTTTGTAGTCATACATGATTAAAACAACAGTCAGAAATTAGTAACATTAGTGGCAATGTCATTACAAAATTATTTTATGATGCATTAAAAACATGATCCAGAAGAGATTACATGTTCCTTGAAAAACAAACGATAATACTGATGAGCATTTGTAGGAGGTGGGGCTGTTAATTATGGCTAACACACCTTTATTATGAAGCCAGGAAAGATAAACTGCTGATCACCTGCTGATTTATGAAGAGCTGTTTAATCCACTGGAACACTTATAATCTGAGACAGGTCCAGAATCACCAAGTTCAGTGCAAACAAAAGCTGCTAAGTATTCCTCTTTAGTGGTGCTAAAAATTTTTTTAAATAAATAAAATAAAAGTTAAAAGGAGCAAATTCACATGTGAAAAGGCTCTGATCAAAATATTACAGAAATAAATATATTTCAGTGCATTATAAATTATTCAGAATTTAGGTAATACTTATGTAGGATGACCTCAGTGACCAATAACCTAAAATATACATTCCAGTTTAATGCAATACTTTCAACAGCACATGACTTTAGGAAAAAAACCCAATATTTTGTATTATCATATGTTTAGGATAAACAGATAACATTCATAGAATTTCAAAACAAATCCTAGTGTAAGTACAGTCACTGTATGTATTACAGTACTCATGTTGAATGCATTGCTTTATATAAAAGAAGAAGCTGGAAACCAACAACAACGAATTTGACAATGATGAATCTGAGGTCTAATAAACAATACTGTCTGCTATTATTACAGCATGTGTGTCACAAAGATGTTCTTTATTCTCTATTTTTTGGCAGATTGCTATGATGATAAAGCCATATGTTAGACAAGGGGAGGGTGAGGAGGTCGTCAGCCCTCTGCAGTGGATGGACGGAGACATGAGCTCACCTGATGGGGATCCATCGGCCCCATCGCACAGCTACAGAACAGGTGACATGATCCAACAGGCCAGAGAGATGGGGAGTGAGGACGCAGAGGAAGATGAGGAGGACAGAGAGGAAGGACCAGAGGATGAATCAAAACGACGAGGGCCTAAGAGAAAGAGGATGACCAAGGCCCGGCAGGAGCGTTTCCGTGCGAGGCGAATAAAAGCGAATGCCAGGGAGCGCTCGCGTATGCACGGCCTAAATGATGCACTTGAAAACCTGCGCAGCATCATGCCCTGTCACTCCAAAACACAGAAGCTGTCCAAGATCGAGACGTTACGGCTGGCCCGCAACTACATCTGTGCTCTGTCTGAGGCTCTGGAGGGGGGCCTGTCCACAGAAAGCAGGGCTTTCATGGAAACGCTGTGTAAGGGACTGTCACAGCCCACGACCAACCTGGTTGCCGGCTGCTTACAGATGGGACCAGCTCCGGGTCCTGGGATGAGGCCTGAAGACAGACATGGAGGTCGGCCACCACCTACACTTGGTGGCATGGTGAGCTACTCCTCTCCAGGACTGCCAAGTCCCCCATATGGCACATTTGACTCAGCTCACCTGCTTCACTTGAGGGCGATGAAGGGAAGACCCTATGAGAATCACTCACCAAACGAGTACAACGCTGGTGGCGTGGGAACCCCTCCATATGATGGCCCGCCTACACCACCTCTCAGCATCAGTAGCAACCTGGTGCCCAAACAGGAGCCTTCACCTCACTACCCACCTTCCCACCGCTACTCTCCCACCCCTGTGGAGCAGGTGCTGTATCATACACAGACCGGATATGATGTACACTTAGAGGGGCCATATGACTCCTATCATCCACCGCACATGCCCCCCCGACAGATTACATCTGTCTACAGAGACTGAGGAGGATCGGTTCCACATCAGCCTTCAGTACGACTTGAAGGATGGAGTCCCGCCCTTCACAAACACTCAGGCTGATTTAAAGAAGCTGGCTCTCTCTCAGTAGACAGACTGGTAGTCAAGCACTGTAGAATAGTTTGTTTTTTAACACTTGTGGAACATTTGCACAGTAGAGTAGCACTACTCAGCATTGCTAGTATTAGAAAATATTTGACTTAAACCAATAAATTGTTTTCCAAAACTCATTTACCAAATGATATAAGGACATAGCAGGCTGCTGCTGTCCAGCTGCCCGGGTACTGTAAAATAAGCACTTCTAATTAAGCTTTGGTAACACCAGATATTATTCCACATAAAGTATTTTTAATTTATTCGTTAATTTAAGATGGTGTAAATTAATTTTTTTCTGATGTGTGTGTTTTTTTTGTTTTTTTTTTGTTTTTATTTGTACATATTTGTAGTCCAAGCTTTTCTTTGTCACTTAGACTCATCCATCTAATATCTTATCCTTGTTTTGTGTCCAGTTTTTTGTTCCATTATATTCAAGTTTCACACTTGAAACCATTCATTTGTGGGGATCAAGCTGATCTTCTGTGAGTAATGACCGAAGAGAGAGATATTTGTTTGTTTGTCTTTATTTTAAATTTTCTGTAATGTGGAGGTTTGCAAAGGGGATCGCGGAGAAGCAAAAATTGTAATTCTCAGGTTAAAATTGTAAAGAAACTGCAACATATGACTGTTTTTCTTTTCAGTCTTGTTTCCTTTGGGACAATTGATGTTATTAAAATACTGAAAGTTCAATTAAGTCTGTTTTTTCTTTTGTTTACTACTTGATGAAACGTTTTATTTTTAAGCATATATATTCATCAGAATCCATCGTTTAAACACTACCAACATTAACACGCCTTGTTTACTTGCTACTTTGTTTCTCATTTTTCTCTCCAGATCTCTGTGGTTTAGCGGCACTAATCCCCGGTGCCGTCTTTTAATGAAGGACGAATGTGCGAGGCAGGATTGCAAGATAAAGATTTATGATTAACATGGCTGCCCGCCTTCTTAGGCTTTCTACTTCTCTGACATTGCGTTGGCATAATCCTGCCCTGACATCCACCCAGGCTGCAACTTAACACTTGTATTATACACATTTAATAAATACATTTCAAAAAACATTTGAAATGCTGGAATCAAATTTTAAAAGCCTGGAAATAAACAGCCAGAGTGAGAAAATGATGAAGATAAAAGCAAAAACAAGAGAGACCTGATTTGACAGCAGCCAGTCTTGCTTTATAGTCCTTGCTGGTCACTTTAAGGGCCACCCACTGAGAGGTCAGGGAGAGGGGTCAAGAGGTCATGGGTCAGTGGTGGGAATGGTCACTGAAGGAACACTGGTGACCAGTTTCTTCATCACGTTGCCGGTCATCTTTCTGCGTGTTTCTGCCCTGCCTTCATCTTTTCATTCAGAGCAGCGAGCGTTAAGTATGACGTTAGAAGTTATATTATGGCTGAAATGCTCCTAATCCCGATAAACACGCTGATGAACATCCCACGCATGACCTGCACTGGGAAAAAATATATCGCTTTGTTTTCACAAGGATTAGTATAAGCCTGTGCGTGTATTTGTAATGCATTTGCACTACTAACCAGGAAAACCAGGGACTAACTTTGAGGGGGCAGGATGAATAACAAATAGCAGGACATCTCTCTGCTTGTTGGAGACACAGACGATCCCCAGACAATTAACATGCGGAGTGTTCCTACATGATAAATGATGGACGGCTGATCGACCAGCGTCTTGAAAAAGAAAAAGAAAAAAAAAAGTTTTGTGATTTAAAAAGGACACTTCTGCACACAGGAGAAAGAAAGGACTGCATTCACCCTTAACCTTTTGACCTTTGACCCCTCTGACATGTAATATCAACGATGCCTTTTATTGAATAAATGCAGAAACTGTTCACAGTGCCTCATTTACATATGATGTTTTGAATAATTTCCCAATTATGTCAATTTTCCCAAAGGAAACTTGCAGCTTGGCAACATTTATATGAAAAAATTAGACAAATGCAACAATTCAAGCACAGTTTAAATCAAGCGCCATCAAGTCTTAGTAGTTAGAAAAGGGTTTCAGTCATATTTATGAAACCAATAAAGTTTTAAGAACAATAAGTGTATATATTTGTGTCACTCTAACATCATATGGAACAGTAGCTTCCTGCTGCCTGAATATAAGTACCAAATTATCTAAAGAATACGTGCTCACTTATGTGAATCCACAGTTTGTGCGTCTGTGAGAGAGACGCACAAACTGTGGACCACCATCCACCTCACGTGCGGATGGTGGTTGTGTTATTTGGGATGAAACAGTATTAAGCAGCTGATCGGAGCTCAGTGTCTGAATGGTGTCATTTACTCGTTAATCCAGAGGAGAGAGGGGCAGTCAGTGCAGCAGCTCCTCTTCTCCATTTGATGCACAACAGTATGCAGCTGCAGCGCTTACTCAGCTCAGCATCTAATGCACGGCTAAACAGATCCTGTTTTGGAAGAATTTGAAGAAAAATGAGTCTTCTGTTGTGAATATGCTCATTTTTATTTGTGTTTTATTAATTATTATTATGTTAGATGACAAGAGGTCAGGACAAAATCTATAATGAAGGAGGGAGGAATCTCACTGCCACCTAGTGGTAGAAGTTCATTCCTGCAATATATGTATCAGCTGCATGAGATATAAGCATTTGGCCACTAGGTGTCAACATTACACAACTTCTACAGTCTTGGTCTTGACTGAAGTCTGTAAAGCATACTGTATTAATAAAAATACAACAACTGTTTGACAAAGACACATTTGGCATCGAGTGACTGGCATTCGTTTACAATGAAAACCCCTCAGACTAAATACGATGGAGATGAGATAATTTCTCAAATACTTCCTTTGCGATGACTGTGAAGGTAGACACATAACAAAAGAGACATTTGGTGAGAACTCCTCTGCTAAACACAGTGAGCCAGCAGAGTGAGCAGGGAGTGGGAATAGAATTAACCTATTTACAAGTAAACTGGTTGATGGAGTGTGTTTGGATGAGAATAATCAGGCTAATGAAGATACCTGGGGACTCTGCTCTATCAGAGAACTGCATGCTGTCCTCTCCATCCAGCAAGTGATCATATCAGAGTCTAATTATTTACCGTGAAAGGACATGAAAAAGGATTAATCAAGGAAATCTGACTGATTAAATCTTCAAAGCCAGCACTGAAGTGCATCGGCTATTAGGGAAGAAGGTTGTGGTCGGGGCTTTTATCCTTGAGGGGGGGAAATGAATGATCAAAAAAAGAAAAAAAGAGAAAGACAGTGCTCTCCAGGACTGTTGGCACACTGAGTAAAGGAGAGGAAAGAAACACAAAAAAATGGCTAGAAAAACAACACAGCTGGCACGATTTGAAGAAAAAGTGTTTTTTGATGCTTTTTAAAATGCTTTTTGGTAAACTTACCTTTGATTTTATGTGATAAGATTTTCAGAGTTAATGAGGCAAACAATGTGTTTTGTTTCTGATGAAAGTGGAAGCTAAATATAGAAACAAACACACTATTTGATTAGTTAGATAATTAAAGCACTCCCAGATGGCAGTAGTCTCTCGTAGCAGGACAATGCACACGTCAAAGAAAAATCTCAGGAACACCAGAAGGAACATCACTGGGAGCCTTATAGCACTGAGCTGGTCTCCAAATTCCTGAGAATGTGATATGATTAAGCATATTTAGGACTCAGTGGAATAAGACTGGAGCCCTACAACCCACAGCCCACTGGACCTGTATAACGTACTACCAGCATCCTGGTGTCAGACCTGATAGGACGACACCATGAGGGCTCACAGGTCAGAGCAGGTTTAAGAAGATAATGTTAACTTGTACAGCTGACTGGTGGACACATTATAAAGTGTTTTCAACCAGTTTTTAAAGATTTACCTTTGCATGTCATATATAAAAATTTCAAGAAATACTTCATATTTGTTTAACAATAAATATATACAGATACAAATACAGTACAAATTTGTCAGACCATCTGCCACAAAAACAAGAAAACAAACATTTTTTAAATCTGAAACTCATTTAAAACTAAACATTGTGTTGTTAGTTTTATGGTTATGTTGTTATGTTATTCAAAAATATAATTTTAATTAAAACACTTAATTGCATTACTGCAATTATCATTACAGAAACATAAAAGCTGATTTTGGTATTTACCAAATCTGTTCATTTAGGGCATCTGTGGCATTAATTTGTGTTTACATATAAAACTATAATTGAGGTATATATTTATACTAGTATATATTTATACTAGTATAGTTTACTAATTATAATTTTTTACCTAAGAAAGAATCTTTTTTAAATTAATCTTAAATGGATAAGTTCTACTTGTAATTGAGTATTTTTACTGTCTCCTGTATTTATTTAAGTTTATAAATATTTTTTAAGCTGAATTAAAATGAATTTGTGTCAGTATAGTTCCAGTGGTCTGGTCAGTGGTGTGGGAGAGAGGTTAGCCAAACCACATCTTTCTGCTCAAGTAAAAGTTTGTGGATTGAAGAAGAAGTTGCGTCAAACTAACCTGCTGCACACATGAAAGGAGAACAGAGACGTGAGCAAACACTGAAAATCCATATATAGATCACTGAGGGAGGAATGCAATGCACTGCATTACTCTGCAGGATGTTACGGTGAGCCATCTTATAAAGGTTTTATGACAGAGAGAGATTAGTTAAAGAGCAAAGGACAGGGCAGTCAGAAAATGTGTGCTTGTTTTACTCACGTTGTGAGGACGTACATTTGTTTACATAGTCATATTGTGGGGAACTTGAGTGCATTTATTGATAGCATATTATAAGTCGTTAAACTGTAGAAAGGGGACGCGGTTTAAAGGTTAGCATTAAGTAAGTGGTGGTTATGGTTAGGGTAAGTAACCAGGAAATGAACATAATGTCCTCTGAAGTGATGTAAACTCAACTTTGTGTGTGTGTGTGTGTGTTGTGTGTGTGTGTGTGTGTAACTGTATCTCCTGATGAAATGTGCTTACTGCTCCAGTTTGTCGTCCTTCCTCACTGTCGCTCAACCTAACCCCTTATCTGGCATGGTGCCAGAAGCTGTTGGTGTGTTGCTTTGTCCGTAATAAACATGCAAATGAAATAAAAGTGAATATGTCGGCCTTAAATTAAACTGGGATATAAGTTTACATGAGCACATCCTTAGAAGAGTTATAAAGTGACCCTGCCAAGACTGACTGGACGCTACCATTAAGGCTTTTACAGCTTGCATTAAACACTTGGTGTTTTTAAATGGCCTGTCTCATTTACACAAGAACACTTCACACACTCAGTGTCTTTAAACTGTTCACA